TATAGTTACACCCAGGAGTTCGGCAGACTGCACTAACTGGAGAGGATGGGCACCCACTGGAAATGCTGGAACTTGCACTGGAGTGGTGGCGGTAATGAAGTGCATGACTACGGTTTTGGTGTGATTGATGGTGACCTTGTTCTCCGTAGTCCATGCCTGTAGCCTGTCCAGGGTGCCTTGTAGCGATGAGTAGTCCGGTGAGGTGTTGTCCACTGTAACCCCCACAGTGCAGTCATCCACGTACTTCCACCTGTGAGGAGTGTCCAATAGAGCGTCGTTGATCAGGATTAGTATGCACAGTGGTCCCATCATGGTCCCCTGGGGAAAACCACAGGTGAGGTGTTGGAATGTGGAGACAGAACCCTGGTACCTCACTGCCTGACGACGCTCACTCAGGAAATCAGTGAGCCATGAGGCCAGGTTGGTGGGCAGCCCTAGTGCAATGGCCTTGTTGATCAATGATCAACAAGGTCAAAAGCCTTCCTGAAGTCAACAGGGGCAACGGCCAGTGATGTCTTATGTTTCTCCAGGTTTTTGTGCAGAAAATCCAGGAAGCAAACTAAGCAGTGTGATGTAGAGGAGGTCCTCATATTGCCAAATCGATGTGGATCAATTGACTTATAAATAATAGCAAATGCCCATTGAAAAACAAAGTCTTCACAGAGTAGACTGGGTATGGCGGTAATGGCAACTGGCCTGACTGAGGTCACTAGGGATCTGTGGGGTGGGGACCTTGGGGATAGGGGTGACAAATGCGGTTTTCCATTCATTTGGGCATTTGCTTTGTCTGAGGGATGCATTGACAATGGAACAGAGGGGGGTTGCAAGTTCAACTGCAAACACCTCGTAAATTTTGATTGGGAGGTCAATTGGGGTTGTAGAGCGTTTGGATTTCAATTTCAGGAGTTTGTTGGTAATTTCAAATGGTTGAACACTGGGAGGGAAGGAGGGGGAGGGTAAGTAGGCCAGGAGGAGAGTGAGGTCAAGACTGGGTAGGGTATGACATATGGTAGCAAAGTAGTTATTAATTGTCTCAGCTGCCGCCTCACTAGGTAAATGAGAGATAAAAGGAAATGTGGGAGACTGACGGTTAAGACCACAGAGATCTTTTACCTTAGAGTAGCACTGACCGATGCCGACCTCAATTAGTCTTTTGATACTGGGTGTAATCCACGGGGCTTCATCGGGGTGGATCCTCAGTAATGCATGTAGAGTGCGGCCACTACACTCAGTATACTGGTTCATCGTCCTCGCACGGCAGACCCATCAACCCTTGAGGGTCAATTATTTATCTCGTCATGGTCATACCACCCCCCCTTTCCCCAGTCGTGGTCTAACCACGTAAGGGGACAGACGTGTGCCCATAGGTGCTCCTGTCCTCCAGATCGTCACACAAAGGCCACTTCAGTTTCTACCTTCCCCTTCGCCGGCAAGTGTTGCCAGCGATGGGGGGGGGGTCGACGTAAACGCCCCAGAAGAGGCATCCCCTCTCTCATGGATACAGACATTTTTGATACGGATAGTCATCTGCATCCCACACCTTGCAAGTCAGACCTCAGTGATAGTGACAGTAACAGTAATGTTTCTATGGGAAACACTTGCCGGAGTGGCAACACCAATGCCAAGGGCAGCGAGCTTCTCCTCGTCACCCTCCCCTCTGCCAACCAACCAAGTAAGCAGAATCTGCACTTCCCCAAGGACTCATTGAAAACCGTCGAGGAGCAGTTTAATTGGACAACAGAGTATTGGAGACAACACGGTCTCACCATAAAATTCCGAAAAGGTAAGAACCGTAACTTTATCAAGAGTCAACTCCTGAGGTCTATGAAACACTTAGTACTGTTGGGTTTGTCCTCGAGCCTCCACCTGCTGAACCAGCTGAATGTTGCCACATCCTAGTTAAACAATTCCCCCTATACGCTGAAGTCGAAGATGCTCGTGACTTTAGTCTACGTATGCTCAGCATGCGTCGACACTACCGAGGGAAGACCCCACAAGCAGCTGCCATAGTTAAATGGAAAGGGAGGGAGTGCCCAACCACTGTTGAGGCCCACCCAGTCCTCCCTCCACTGTATGCAGAACCCTATCACCCCGGGCCTGCTTTTTGTGTCATCTGCTCCCATTGGGATCACACCTTCACCGCCTGCTGCCGACGTGATCGTCCCAGATGTCGCTTCTGTTCAAATAACCATCACTCCTCCGTCTGTGCCCAGAAAATCAAAGACCACCTCAATGTGGGTGGTGTGGGCTATGTTGTTGATCCCAGGTGTTGTAATTGTGGTGGCTGGTACAGTGCTGATTCACGGCAATGCCCAAAATGTCCTTCTGTCCCGAGGAAAAAGCCTCCACCCCGAAGGCCGCATCAACCGCAACCTCTCCCCCCAGCCTACAGGGCAACCTCCCTCTGAGTCCCCTCCTCTGTCTCAAGCAATGCCTCCTTCTTCAACAACACCTGCCCCTCCATGGCCTTACCAGGCTGCAACACAGCAGTCCCGGCCGTCTCCTAACTCAACTACTACTGGGCCTCCTACCCATCTCTACTCTGATGCTGTCAAGCCTTGTGCTCCCATCGGTGCCCCCCCACAACTCCCCTCCGGTGACAAGACACAGATCATATCCCTCTTCCACGAATTTACAAACCGTGTTGAAAAACTCTTTGATACACTCTGTACCGCCATCTCTGACCTACACCGACTACCCCTGCCTTCAGCTGCTACCCAATCACTCCCCTCTTCTGGTTTGACACAAGCTGGTAGCCCCCCTGTGTGCCTCTCATGCTCACGGCCTACTCCACCGCCGCCTGGCATCACTGCTGCCGTGGCACCTACCGAGACTGCCCAGGTGTGCCCTGCTGCCCCCGTGCCACGTCCCGCCCCATCACCACGACACTTGGTGCCTCATTCTGTCCACCCACTGCAAACCGCGCCTGCTCATCTCTGAGCTGTCTTCACCAGGGCCCCCTATTGGACCCGAGGACACCACCCACGGCTCCCCGTCCCCCACAGGCATGCCGGCACCTGGAGCCCATCCGCTCCAGTTCTTCGCATCAATGGACCACCGTGAGGACATGCACGTGGACTACATATCTAAGTCAAGAGGGATGTCCCCTACCAACCTCTCTACGTCCCCCCTTGAAGCCGACACTACCGACGTACACGCCATCACAATCACACTAAAAAGGTATGTCCCTCAATATTGTCAATGCCTATGTGCCTCCCTCCACCTCTACTGTACCTGTCCTTCCACAACATATCACCTCCACCCCCACCCTCCTTGTGGGGGACCTCAATGCCCGACACCCCAGTCTCTGCTCCCAGGGGCCCTACCCAAATTCCAGGGTTAACTCCTGACTTTCTTACCTACAAACCACTGATGGCCCTGTTATCAACACTTCTTCCCTCCCTAACCATATATCCCTCCTCCTCGAGACAGTCCTGGCACTTGACATTATTAGGGACCTGCCACGCTTTGCCATAAACAGAGAAATTTTACCGGGAATTTCCCCCCCAAACACTCATCACTCTGTCACTTTATGTAACTTGCTGACAAAACCCATGACCCTTCAGGCTTTTACGCCCTTAATGCATGAGTTTATCCAAAATTTGCTAGCCCACACTGATTAGTCTTAAATTAGAATATGACGTCCAATGTATATGAACCACTGTCCTGCATGGCAGTGTACAGTGACATCACCCACATGACTCTGACCTATATATACAGTATATATATACTACTAATGGATATGATGTATTTCTTTGTGTACGAACCTCTGTCCTGCATGGCAGTGAACAGTGACATCAACCCACATGAATCAGACCTACGTATATATACTGTTAATGAATATGATCTATTCCTTTGTGTATGAACCTCTGTCCTGCGTGGCAGTGATACCACCCTCAGTGTCAAAACCGGCTGAATTACTCAGAATACACAAACTGTACTCCAAGCTTTGTCAATAAATTTGTTAAATTTAAAAAGCCTAGTAACGGGGTCCCATTACAGTTGCTTAAAAAAATAAAGGGAACAAAAGAAAGACGGGATTTCGCCGATTACTTCATCTCCCTCCCCCTATTCCTAGCCTGGTTATTAGTTTTTTTTACTTGAATTACTTCCATATAGAGCCGCAGACAGTTCGGCCAACCAAGCGCCCTGTTGTTATTTAACGGGTGGGAAGTTTACTCGGGCTGTTTCTCACACAGTTTATAAACATGTTTATTAAATTGTAAACATGTATTCTAATTTACTGAATAAACTTAACCATCTGCAGTACTAACACAAACTACTACTTCCGCTGAGTGACAACATGGCGCCCGCATGTCTGTGTTGATCGAACTTTATCTACGACTTTAGGGTGAACGCGTTCACCCATTTGAGTGAGTTATCCTCCTCCAGTCTCAGAATCATTAGTTCAATTCACACTAATGTAGGCTTATTAACGGAGAGTGAACAAGTTAAATCTTTTTTAAGGGATTATCTAACCACCATGTTGCAAGTATTTTGAGATTCTATGAATGCAACTACAGCCGAACTATCTTTTACTGCCATTTGTTGTTATTGTTATCATTATTTCATTCAGAATGATAAGAAAAAACGGGAAAAGTTTTATATTTATTACTTTATTCACTCCTGGTGTAATCTTGATGAGACTTAAAGTTTTTCGATGAAGTCTTGTAAATGTTTTCATAAATGAAGGTAATGTTCCTACCCCGTGGTACACCAAAATTTATGTGTCGGTCTAGTTACCCAGATCATATATAATTTTTACCTAAAAATTTTACCTTTTTTTTCTCTGCATCCTTTCAGAATAAAAGGAAATCGTTGACATTAACTCTACAGTAGATCCAGTCATAAGACTAAAATTGTGTGTAAATATATGGTACGTATTTATTAATTTAATTATTTATACATTTATGAGTTACCAAGTGCTTAATATTTTAAATACGTCTATAGTTGATGTTTTTTAATAAGCACTGCCAATGAGAAGAAGCATTGGAAGTTTTTGTTGATAACAAATTGGTAGTACTGGTACAGTAAGCGACGAAATCTGTTGTCTGCCGAGAAGTGGTGGATCGGAGGCCACTGTGAGTCATCCCTGAGTCATCTGTGAGTCGATCCCGCGACAGGTGAGTCCACTCTAGTTGGCACAGAGGACGCGGTGTCAGCCTCATATATCATGATTTATAATGGTAGGAGTCCTGCAGTGGTTAATATTTTTTTAATGTTCACAATGTAGCTACGCCAGGCCTTACGTTCCATGGGTTGGCATGGCGATTGTGGCACACATAATATTTTCAGCTAAATAAGGGGTCAGGAGCTTTTATTAGTAATATGACTTTCGGGGTCACAATATTGCATACAATAAATAATAGTATGGTATCGGGAAGTTCTGTTGATGGGTGAAATGAAGTTTGGGAATTAAGTTAACAGTTCAAAGTAGATTGATAATAAGTTTTGAAACATGTTTATGATTTGACCAAATGGCTGAATGGGAATGAGGGTATTGGGTATTTTTCTAATTATTTATTTTTGTGTGGTTAGGAAAATTTACAAATACTGTACCTAATTTAATTATAACACTTAAATAGTTAGATTGCTTCATTTTTTTTTTTGGGGGTGTAACGTACGGTACAGTTAATAGCATCTTATAAATCCGGAACCCCCTGAAGCATAAAAAAAAAACACTTTTCCCACCTTCCTGGCTACCTACAATACCACTATCCATGCAACTTCAGTAAATTAACAATAATCATCACTTAACTGGAGGTGATTTTTAGCAGGAACAAACCTCTTGAGTGTTGGCTGTGCTCAATGGCCCATTTTTGCTTAAATCTAATATATAGTTCAGTGATTTTTTTCTTAAGTACTGATGACATATAGATGGTAATACAGTATAGGAATGCTAACATGGGGGAGAAAACTCGTAGCATATATTAGGGGTTCACAATTTGGAAACCACAAATAGATAAATTTCTGAGGAAAGGTGTTAAGATGGTGCCCCTCACATGCAATTTTACTGTAAATGTATCATGGGGGTTGTTGACAATTAATTATGTATAGTTTTACAACTAATTCAGTATTTCCGATTCTAGAAATAAGTGGTAGACATAAGAGTTATTGTTTTACTATAACATATGAATTTACTCAGTAATACTTTATGACAGATGCATGCCTGAGTCAACAACTTGAGGCCATTCTTTACACAAGATAAATGTTTTCTTACCTCAACCCGGACATACGACCACCATGGTCGTATAAAATATTTTTCTAATTACGTATTTTCGAGTCCTGACGTTAGTGATCGCGCTGTGTACTGACAAAATTTTCGTTTGTAATTTAAAATGGCTGGCAAGCGTAAAAGTAAGAGTTCTCGTGGTGCTGAGAAGAAAAAGAGACACCCATTTTTAAATTTCTATGTATTATTTTCACCTTTTCGACTTACGACCTGGTCGTCAGGACGGAACCCTGTCGTGTATATATATATATATATATATATATATATATATATATATATATATATATATATATATATATATATATATATATATATATATATATATATATATATATAATATGATAACTATTACATTATGTATAGTAGATTAGGATGTCAAATTATTTACTTAATAGATTATTGAGGTAGTAGGTATAGACCAGCACATGCCAGGAATAGCAAACTGGTGGAATTGTTTGCCGAGGTTTGGGAATATTCATTCATAATATTGACACCCAAACCTACCTAACCTAACTTAAAATATTAGTAGTTATCTTTTATAAAAAGAATACAGTATTATTATTGAAGGACAAGGGTCCAGATTATCCACCCACCTAATGAAAAATAGCTATAGAAGAAATCTTCTTTCTTACCTCAAGATTAAAGCAAATTGGGTTGAGAAACATTTTTTGGGGTATTCTGGTTTTCCTATTTTTTTATGAAAATAAAGATGCTGCTGCCACTCACCAGGTTCACAGAAAACACCATGTTTGTGCATGACTGTAGACAAACATTGTGCAGTGACCAACCAACAAATACTGAATGTTATGCAATGGAACACTTTAGAGCTAGTGAATAAAAACCACCGACCTTCCTTCCTTCTTTCTTTTCCACTGAAACCTTCCTAACAAAACCTGCTTACTATTACAGGTATTAATGTTTTTTTATTAGCGGATTATCATTTTAACATAAGACATAATAATTTATTGTCATCTTTACAAAAATTTCCGAAAGTTGTTGCTGCTGTTGTTTCTTTAGTATGAAATGGAATCTCGTAAATAACAGTACTCCACTTTTATATATGTGTCAGTATTGTAACCAATGAGGTTTATCTGAGTTGTGTTGTTGCATAAAGCTAGAATATCTGTTGATATTATTGGGAAAAGTTTAGGTCATCCCCACCTTCTCGCACTGCACACTGTTAATACACTTTGTGTCTTCAAGTGGAACCAACGGGGAGGTGCTGCTTAACATCCAGCAGTTTGTCTCTTTTTTTTTTCTGACCTGCCCCTCAACTATCTTCTGACTGGTGGTGATTTTTTTATATTGCTCCCAGGCAGTTTGTTAGCATTTCCTTGCTTTCTTTTGTTTTGTTTGTTTTTTGTACTTCAATGATGTCAAACAAAAAGGAGTACCCTGGATGCAAGAAGACAGTAACCAAGACAGCTCAAGCTCTAAGGTGTTGGTATTGCAGTGCCTGGTACCACTGCTTGTGGTGACTTTGATAAGGAGGCTTACAACTGTGCAGGTTGTGAAGACAAAGTATATGACATCCTGAGCACAGCCAAATCAAATCTGGAAGCTAAAATAGCTAATAAGGTAATGTCACTTACAATAACTTCTCTGGAGAATTTTGAACAAGGTGTGACTGGGAGGCTGAAAACACTGGAGGACAGGATCGATGCTTCAGGAGTGGCCTCTCTGGAGTCTCCTCAGTCATTCACAAATATTGCTAAAGAGGAACTGAAGGAGCTAAAAAAAAAATATCAGGATGGTACTAAAGGAGTGAGTGTCAAAATCAATGATTTGGACAGAGATAGGAAAATCCACATCCAGCAGGTACTCATACTGAAGCCAAAGGAGGGCATTGTGGCTGATAAAGCAAAAGTTGTTGATGCTGCTGGGAGTGTTTTGAGAGTACTGAAGTCTATTCATGTTGATAGCTGGAGAGAGACAAGAACTAGCTCCCTTGTTATTAGACTTCCCACTAAGAAGGCAAAGGAGGAGGCTAGTGGGGCTATGAGTTGTTGCTTTGGTACACACTCAGACTTTATGGTTTCTGAATCTAGAAAGATCATGCCAAAAATTATTACACTTCCTGATTATGAAATAGTCTCAAGCAGTGCTGAGAAGAATAATGAAATTTAAGAACTGTTAAATAAACGCTCCAATTTATGTCACCTGAAGTACGAAATTCCCTAAAGAAGTTTCAAAGGATATGTTTATGTTGGACTGAACAGATGCAAAGCTTATGACAGGTTCTAGGTCACTCAATGCTACCACTGCTAAAAATTTGGACACTTTACTTCAGGTTGTCCCAGCAAGCCTGGTTCTCCAGTTTGTGCCTTCAGTGCAGGCAGTCATGAGTCAAGGACATGCTCAACTAACACCTCACCCTGCTGTGCACATTGTTCCACCCTTCAGTAAAAGCCGAGTCATTTTGTATCAAGTAAAGATTTCCCATTGATAACTTCCCAACATAAAAAGTAATTGAAACCACTGATTTTGCTCGTTAAAAAAATGCATAGTGCTCTCCTTGAGTCTGTTAAAAGTAAGTCTGCTTAATATACGTGCGATCCGAAACAATTTGTGTCACAATAATTAGTTTCTGAGGGAGTTCAGCTTGGATTTTTATTTTATTTTATTTATTTATTTTATTTTGATTTTGATTTTTTGGGGGGTGGGGGAAATAGCCCACCAGGGCACAGAAGGATGTACTGTAATGGTCTATTCTAGCGTGACCGACATCTACTCAGAAACGGTGGGCACCGCGGGCAAGACGTGTGTTACGAGCCCACGGCCTTGCCGGCGGTACACAGGATGCCAAATCCACCGAACATTGCCCGTTAAAGTACCTGTAAAAGAGAGAGATTGAAGCAACATTGCGACGAAGAAAAAGGGAAGAGAGATTATCGACTAAAGGAGGAGAGTTAATGAAAAGAAATGCCTTTGATTCCACCCTATCAAACAGTTGGACAGAAGAAGAGCCACCCCAGATATGAGAGCAGTACTCCAAGTTAGGATGTATGAATCCCTTATAAACCTAAAGTAACTGTGAAGGAGTGAAGTAGCTACGTCATCTGTACAGCATTCCCAGCTTTCAGGGGGCAGCTTTAGCAATGTTGAGGATGTATGGCTTCTATGACATTAGAGGAAATGGTGAGGCCTAGCATATCTATTTTAGATTTTGGCAAAATGATATCCTCTGTATAACTGAAACTGGTTCTATGAGTCAGACATCAAAATTATTTGTAAAGCTCTTTTCAAGGCACATTTCCTTGTTCATGTTCCCAGGCCAGCTGCAAGAGCTCCGGTGGCAGAGTGGCACTGATTTATTCTGTGGCCCTGCTCAGCATTAGACTAATTAGTAGTTACTCTGTTTTCTATTTTTTCCTCCTTTGCATTTATAGAAGCATTAATAAATCTTCATCTCCAAGTTATTAGAATTGCCATTGTTTATCGTTCTGGTCAACCAGGTAGAGATGGGGAATTCATGGATTAATTTGGCTTGCTTCTCAGGAAAGAACGGGCGATGGTTGATCTGTGGTGACTTTATATTGAGTTGACGCTCCATCTCTGAAACCCTTTTCTGCTGAGTTGGAAATTCTCAATCTAAACAATTTTGTCAATCATGTGTCGTGCCCAACACATCCTTCTGGACACACTGTAGACCTAGTTTTGTCTCCTGCTGACTGTGATTGTGTATTAGATGTTGAAGTTGGCCAGATTAATTCAGCCGTCTCTGACCATGCTTTGGTTACTTTTGGTTTTAATGTCCCGAAGCCCCCTTCTTACAGTACTGTAAAGCTTTCAAGAACTATAGAAACATTGACCAGACCCTGATTGACCAGGAAGTCAAATCATTCTTTGAACTCGGTTACTCCTCTTTTGTTCTTTGAGAAGATGGTTAAATTGTATAATGATGTCTTCCAGTCCATTTCAGACATTTATTGTCCACAGGTCACGAAGAGAATTACAGTACTGTATACTGTATACAGAATGCACTAGATCAGAGTATGTATATGACTGCACGTAGGGCTGTACTTTGTTCAGTGAGGGTATGCAAAGTTGAATACAGGTTGTACCTCTCTAGTCCGGCATTCTGTGGTCCGGAACGATTTTAGTTTGCCCAATAGGTAGATAGGCAGCTATTATTATTATTATTATTATTATTATTATTTTTTTTTTTTTTTTTTTTTTTTTTTTTTTTTTTTTTTTTTTTTTTTTTTTTTACTTATCTGAATTATTATTATTATTATTACAGGAGTATTACATTTTCGCCCCTCAGGCCCCAATGTGGGTCAGTGACCTGTGCCCAGGTGGGCTAATCCTAGTAAAAAAAACAACAACAACAAAGCCGCGGGAAATTAAGGTTTGTTTACATCCGGCAGTTCGGCTCTCTCTCTCTCTCTGTTTGTCTATACAGAGTACAACATTTAACCCTTCAATATTTATGAGCAGTAAATAAGTGTTGCTTTCATATTCTTATGTAGAGTAATGACGATATGTTTTCACATGTGCGCACTTACGCGCAGTCTCACTTTTTTCCTTTACTATTAATGGTTAGCTACTTATACTGTTCCATTTATTAACATTACTGTACTTCAAACAACCATATTAATTTTTTTACATTAATTTTATTACAGCTACAACCAGGGTCTTATTTTCTTCAGTTTTATATGTAGAATGAGTCAGTCACTGGTTTTGTAATCAACGAAAACAATGCTGTCTCATTTCCTCAGTGTTTTAATATTCTACGTATTATTAATGAATTATATTGCTCATTTTGCACACAAACATTAATTCAATCAAAAAGACATTCAGTAATAAACAATAATGAATCTTTTGTACATAAGAGAAATGACGCTGTTTACACGATTGTGCACGTCGTCTGAACGTTGGCGGGCCGTTCAAACCTGTCGAAATTTGAGTTTCCGCCGTGAAATTTTTAAATTGTGTAGTGTTTTTTTTGTGTCCAAATATAAAACGTTGAATAAAAAACTCGCAAAATTTGAGAAGCTACTGTACGACACTTAATCCTTCAATATGTCTTCAAAGAGACCATGAAGCAGAGAAAGTGGTGCTTCCAAGCATAAGCACAAGTCACTATCTATCCAGGAAAAGGGTGAATTTCCATGGTCCGGCACCGGTCAGATCCCGAGGTTGCCGAACTAGAGAGGTACAACCTGTACTACAGAAGTCAAGTAGCCTCTTGTGGCAATGATCAGAACATTTTTTATGCAGTTATGAATAGGCTGTTGGGCTGGAGGTCTGGAACTACATAGTCCCCGACTTACGACGGGGTTAGGGATCCAAATCCAGGTCGTAAGTGGAAAATGCGAAAATAATACATAGAAAATCTAAAATGGGTCTCTTTTTCTTCTCAGCACCAAAAAACTCACTTTCAAACTTGCCAGCCATTTTAAAGGGAATTACAAACGAAAATTTTGTCAGTACACAGCGCGATCACTAACGTCGGGACTCGAAAATACATAATTTAAAAAAAAATTGATACGACTGGGGAGGACGTATGTCCGGGTGGTCGTAAGTCGAGTATGTCGTAAGTCGAGGAGTACCTGTACTATGCTTTCTTCCACTTCAGATGCTCAGCTTGCCTCACATTTTTCCTTTTTTGTGTGATAAAGATATCACGTATAAGAAATAACCTTGACGTTGTTTCTTGAATTGACAAATTTTCAGTTGAATTTCAACTGAATTACACCATAAGCCTCACTCTTTCATCATTTTGTCCTGTAAGGGTGAACAACTTTTTGCACTACATGAAGGATTCGAAGAAGACTTTTTGTTGTCTTGATCCTATAAATGTATCCTAGGTACAATTTGCTTATGAACATACTGCAGACTTTATTTGTAGAATCCTAAAGAAATGCTTTGCAGAGAGCAGTTTTGTGCCATCTGAGAAACGGACTTTACTGCTTTCACTTTTTAAGAAACCTGGTCTTGATACTGAAAATGTGTCAAATTATCATCCAGTCTTCAATCATTCATTTTTATCAATGATCATAGAGTGGGCTATGCTGGATCAGTTACTTCCTCTGTTAGAGAGAGAAATGGATTAATCCTCTGGTTCATTTAGCCTATAGGAAGCATCATTCAACTGAAACTGCCTTATGTAAAAATCATGATTTGGTAATAAACACTAGCACAAGAAAGTCCTCCCTCTTGGTCTTGCTAGATCTCTCTGCAGCCTTTAACAAGGTGGACCGTCATCTGTTACTTCAGTATCTTTGGTTGCTTGGTGTCTGTGAGAATGCACTCTCACTGCTCGAGTTTTATTTGTCAAAGAGATCTCAGTTTTGGGACCTTTTGTGTTTACAGTCTATACCAGTACTGTAGTCTTGTATCTCTTATTTTTTAATCTTTTATTTTTTATTCAAGATCCATATGCTGTTAAACAGTTTTTGGATAGACAGTGTCTTGTGAAACTATTACATTCACTTATTTTCTCTGCAGTTGACTATCTTAACTCTTTATGGGTATGCCTATCTAACTATCTACTGAAGAAAGTTCAGACAGGGTTGAAGAGGGTTGCCAGGCTTATTTTTGCACTCCCACCGAGGACTTCCACTACCCCATTCTTGATCAAATTGTATTGACTTCCAATTTAAACTTGGATAGTTTAAACACTGCCTAATGACTCTAAGACACTTAAGTTTGATGAGCCTAAGTTATGGCCAATCTACTAAATCCTCTGACTACACATTCTGAAATGATTTTACATAGTAGTGCTGATTCTTCACACCTTGAGGAGCCGAGAGCAGTTTGGATTTGTTCTTTTGTTGCCTGATCCTTTTCCTATGCATCCAGATTGTACAATTGGTTACCTACATCCATGAAGCAGCTGACTTCTGTGGAGGCCTTTAAGAAACAACTTGAGGCCTTTCTATTTTTGAAAGCTTACAGGGTTTAGGAAGTACAGTATTACAACTAAAGGGTATACGAATGATAGAAGTGAAACTCATTTTTTTTTTTTTTTGTAGTACCTGTACAAGTATTTCTTTTTATTCTCAGGCGTTTGTGGTGTTTCGAACACTTGTGAATTTTTTAGACAAACTGGCACTTTTGAAAAACAAAACACCAGCAATTATTATTACTCATCTTCCAGTATGTACAAGTACAGCTACTCCTCGACTTATGGCCTACTCGACTTACGACCATCCCAGTCGTACCAAATTTTTTTCAAATTACATATTTTCGAGTCCCGACGTTAGTGATTGCGCTGTGTACTGACAAAATTCCCGTTTGTAATTCCCTTTAAAATGGCTGGCATGCTTAAAAGTGAGGGTTTTGTGGTGCTGAGAAGAAAAAGAGACACCCATTTTAGATTTTCTATGTATTATCTTCTCATTTTCGACCAATTCGAATTACGACCTGGATTTGGGTCCCTAACCCCGTCGTAAGTCGAGGAGTGGCTGTTTATTATCCTCTTAAGAATGGCAATGGCACTGTGTAATGCTTGTTTATGATAAATGCAAAATTTGTATACATATGAAGGAATTATTTTAATAATTACATTGTTTCTTTGTATTACAGAATCTGGTTGGAAAAGCAAACAAATTCAGCAGCTATGCATGGTAAGCAACAGATTATAACAGGATCTAGTCTAATATTATAAGGTATTCATATACGTAATTGAATTTAAGTATTTTTACCTCTTATTTTTACTGTACTGTATATTATATTGTACTATACCTACTTTTATAGTAGGGTTTATTAATTGTTCTTTGATGATTGTTAATTTACTAGGTCCATGAAGTCCACCCCATTGTTCTTATAGACAGGTAATGAAACTGGCTCAAGTCTAATTAATGATCTGGGTCACTCGCACATAAAATCCAGCTAGGTTTAATTCTTGATCCTTTTCCACTGTTTTGTATGTAACATTCCTTTCTCATATTGGGGCTGGGGGCTTTGACTAGATCTTTGACATCAGTTGGGGAATAGGGTGACATATGGTACCTTACATACTGGGGTAGTTCCTATTTTTGGAAGCTCATGAATAGTCTAATAGAAAATTTTCTTCTTTCCATGTTTTTAAGTGATATGTTTCCTTTCTAGGCATTGATTTTTATTGGCATTAACCCATAGGCTTCGGTTCACCTCAAATGACATGTGCTTCCAGCGCTTCGGTTCACATCATATAGCATTTTGTAATTTCGTGGTACTATTCGCCATGTGGGCCTGGCTAAAATATGTTGCCAAGAAGGCATTTATCTTTCCCTTGCCTACACATGCGAGCCTCCCAGTCTCCATTATCAGTAGTTTCTCAGCTTTTGTGATGTATGGATCTCCCTTGGACTTAACAGTCTTCACCACATGTTTCTACCCCTCCAACCCTCAAGGGTAGTAGGGGACTCTTGACCATCAGCAGATTCGTGATCAATTAATGGAGGCAGTAATAATGATTGTGAATAGTGTAAACAGTAATAACATCATAAAACAAGTATTCTGTATGTCATACAGGTGTTGACCGTTATACGACAGGGTTAGGGACATCAAAAAGTCATTGTAAGGTGAGCGATCCTATATCGATCTTAATAACTTATGGGGGAAAATAGATTCCTTTTCTATACTGTTAGCACTTGCAGCACCATCTTTACCAGCAAATGCCTGGGAAAGTTCATGGAACCAGTGCGAGACAGAGAAGGACGCCAGAGTTAGCACTCGGTGGTTATTTTTCAACCCATAATTTCTGTTAGACAAACTGAATGTAATTTTATTTTTTTCCTGTTATATGCACACACAATCTTTCATACAGAATATGCCCCCAAAATTATTATAAGGTCAAAAAAAATAAAGGGAAGAAACATTACATGCACAAGAGTTACAACACAGAGCAGGAGATGGGGAGAGGAGCGGCAGGGGGTTCTCAGCTGTTTGCTGTCTCATGTCCCATGTGTTGTGAAAAGAATGCTAAATGGCAATGCAATATATTTTTTTCTTTATTTATTAGTACTGTATTATTTTTATTTATTCCTCACATTTACTGGTACAGTATAGCTATATTATTTTATGCATTGATAAAGCAGAAAAAGCATTCTGGTAGCAACCATTGTAAATCTGATCTTAGCCATCCCACAACGGTATTTATTGTTAATTTCTTAATATCGTAAAAATTATCAGTTCTATATCAATCAATTGTATAATGGCCAACCCCTGTACTTCCGTTAAGCCAATATAAGCCATTATTTACGTCTTCGGCAAATTTGCCGTAAGATTGTGATAATTTGGCTTGTTTTTCGGTATTTTATTTTTTAGTAATATTATTAGTAACACAATTTTTGTGCTTAGTGGACCACAGCTTGTCCCAGACACCCTAGCTAGGCACCTTCGCCTACGGTGCTTGGCCTCCAATCCATAATACGGGCGCATTAAACGCAGGGTAATTTGCGATACATTTAAAAAAAAATGCGTCTTATACACCAGCAAATACAGTACCGGGTAGTTCCATTTGGATGATAGGGTCCGCACCAATGGACCGCGGTCGGCCAGTTGAGTACCCCTGTCCTATACCTTTGGGGAAGGGGAGATGTCTGAGAATACTGGGGGTGTCTTAGTGAGAGGCTCATTATCCTGTTTTAAAAGATCTTAGGCCTATTTGCAATGTTAAGTAATTGACAATTAGCAGGCTGTGTTACCAAACTTTGCAATTGATAAATAAAGGAGGTCAGATTTATCCATTTCCTCCTCTCTCCTGGATGCATCAAGGGATCTAGCTAGATTCTGAAACAGTTCTGAAGAATCTATGCACCAGTGGCCCCGTTTGGCTAAATGAGGTGTGGTTCCACCCCTGCATTTTTTGTAGACAATGGGTAATTTGTGAGATGAGTACCTGTTTCCCTTTTTTTTTTTTTTAGGAAGCAAACTCCCATTTGGGATATGTTCCACACCACTTATGTTTCTTGGGGTCACTCCTAACCTGTATCACATAATAATTGAGGGCTAGATCCTGAAAACCCATTTATAACAGGCAATGAGGAGTAACCAGGATCACACCTGCATCCCAGGGATACTCTTACCAAGCTGCCAACATTAATTGATGTTTGCTGTAGGGATAGCAGCCAACATGATTGGATAATTTGTTTTCCTTGCTGCTGAAGGGTTAAAGGTCAACTGGAGTGAGCAAGTTGCTACTGTGAGGTATGATCTATGCAGTAGAGAAAATGAGGTGTATGGTGTCATAACTCATAAAGTTCCATTGTCTTGCAGCAAATTGAGTAACCTTTGGATAACCACTAGTTACGCCTATGGGTTTACTAGAGCTTGAAAAACTTCATTGCACCTCACTGGTTTTGTTATGAAATGATTAATCAGGATCAACCCTTATCTTTTGATGTACAATCAGACAGGTTCCTCTACCTCCGATTTGTATGATGGTTTAAATATTGCAGGTCACTCATGAGCCCTGTACAGTATTATACCGTTAACCCTTACACCCCAGATGATGTTCCAGAACGCACGCCTTTTCACGCCACTGTTTGAATGCCCATCGCGTGTTAGCAGGTACCAGCGTGACTATTTGTCTGTCACAGCACACGGAGGGGAGCGTGGGTGGGCTCAGAGCGGTCAGTAACCATTCCCCAGTTGTCATGGAGAGTCGCCCTCATCTTCCACTCCAATCAAGTGTCACCGCCGTGGGTTGGATGATAGCCAGATAAGGAAAGAACTTTTTGATGTAAGTGCTGTGGTGGTTGAATCTGGTGAGGAATGCAGTGATTATATGCCTAGTGATCCTGATGATAGCATCGAGTTAGACGATGTATTAGAGACAAGTGAGGATGAGTATGACACTGGCAGCGAGGCCCAGCCAGGACGGCGTATCCCCACCGTGCACTCACGGCTCGGACAAGGGACAATGGTTACCTTTGTTTAGTCTGATGGCAGTAATTTTCAGCCTGACATCCCTGATTTCAAACGATCATCAGGTGGAATTACTCCTGATTTTCCTTGTACAGAGGAATCACGTGAGATGGACTATTTTTGTGCTTTCTTTGATGGTGCAATCATGGACTTACTGTGTACCAAGACAAATAAATTTTATCAGTACACATGTGATGCTGACCCAGGCCCTGGCCCCTCACCACACATGCGTCGATGGAGTGATGTTGGTGTTTCCGAACTGTATGTGTTATTTGCATTGCTGATGATGATGGCACGTGTGAAAAAACACGTACTGTACTTCTGGAGAATGTCGATATAACACGAGATAGGTTCCAAGAGAGGTCACTTTAAACCGAATTCGCACTAAATCGAAGTGTCGTTTCAATGGAATAATTTAGTTTGGTACTTGAGAGAAACACAAAATACTAAAAAGACTGAGTCTACCCAGATGCACCTCAGCCCATCTCCTAGAATAAACAAAACATTGTTTTTTATAGTACGTATTATGTTAAAACAAACACTCATAAATCAACACAGCTAAAATTATGGGATGTGAAATGGTTTGTTTACTGGCTGGGAAGATGGGGGGGAGGGGGAGGTAAGGTGATTTGTTTGACAGTTGATGCCAAGGTCTAGTGCTTATTTATTTATCTGTCCTTAAGAGTGACTAAGTTTTTTCTAATAAAATGTCACTGAACAGACATGGGAGAATTTAACATTGCTGGAATTCTTATAAGATAGTGATTAATTTGAATATAAACATGCTGTAGCTCACATTAGACATACAAATTTTAGTTCTAATTTAAGAATTTTATTACAAAGAGCAAAAATTTTTAGCCTATGCAAAATATATGACTTATATTCAAATTATTATCTGTTTTGCAAGGACTCCAGCAATACAAATTACATTCTCTTAACTTTAGTGTGTGACATTAATGTAAGATAAAAACTTTAAGCCTTAAACACCAAACCCTGGCTGGGAAGATGAGGAGGGAAGTGACAGTGACATGTTTGACAGTTGGCGTCGAAGGTTTAGTGAAGTATTTATTTGTTTATTTATGTCCTTTAGCTTGAGTTTATGTTTTTTGCTTATAAAATGTCACAGAAGTGACCAGGAGAATATAATTTACATTGCTGGAATTCTTATAAGATAGTGATTAATTTGAATATAAACATCCTATAGTTTACACTAGACAAAAATTTTAGTAATCATTTACTACATTATTTTTAGTACATGTACAGTACAGCTTTGCCCTTAGGAAAGTGTAGCATGCCCAGAGAAACATTAGGCGCAAAATTTTAAAGATGATGCGCCAGATTGACTTGTGCGAAATAGGAAAGATTCGCTTTAAATTAAAACATTGTCCTTAATTGTGGGTGTTGCTTTAAATCAATAATCTGAAATTGAATCGCTTTAAATCGATGTAGTACTGTACTGGATGTCTCCTGATGACATCACAGCAACTCCATTGTTTGCAAAATTCATGTCCAGAGACCGGTTTCCCTCCATCCTACGTTATCTACACTTCATAGATAACAACATTCCTGTGGCTGGTGACAGACTGTGGAAAATAAGGAAAGTTTTTACGATGCTTAAGGAACGTTTTATGAAGTTCTTCAGACCATTTGAGAATGTAGTGGTGGACGAGTCTCTGGTACTTTTCAGAGGACGTGTTGCTTTTAGACAATACATTCCTTCCAAACGACATTGCTTTTGGAACAAGTTCTTTGTGCTGTGTGACTGCGATACTGGGGTATGTCTTAGATCTCGTTGTTTACACAGTAAATGACGTAGACATGCCCAAGGACGACCCTCATGGTTTCTCTGGCGCTGTTGTCAAGAAACTTATGGACCGCTACTTTGGAGGGAATCATGTCCTCTACACTGATAATTATTATACCTCCTGCCCTGGCCAAGTTCCTACTTGAACAAGACACCGGTGCAAGAACAGGAAACACTGGCCTGTGTTTACTGGCAAACCTGCACGAGGAGAGATCCAGCTGAAGCAAGCAGACAAGATGCTTGCAATATGTTGGCATGATAAGCGTACTGTGCAGATGCTGTTAACAGTGCACAAGGGTGAAATAGTGGACAGTGGAAAAAGGGACTGGACCACAGGAGAGGTCATGAAAAACCCTCGCACTGTCATGGACTACAATGTCAACATGCAGCTCATGGACAAGAGTGACATGCAGGTTGGCGCAATTGTGTGTGTACAGAAATGTGTCAAATGATACAAGAAAATGTTCCTACACCTCTTAGACATCACCATCCTGAATGCGTACAACTTGTACCTAATAAAAACCGGCGAAAACCCTCTCTCAGGATTTTTCAGAAGCAAGTTATAACACAACTCCTAGAGAAGTATGCCAACGTTGTGGCAGCTGTACCACGACCTTACAGCCAAGTGGACCTGCCTGACAAACTCCTTGCACGTGACTGGGTTGTTCGTCACTACCTTGACGACCTCCCAACTCTTCCAAGTGGTCGTAAGATGCAAAGGCGGTGTCACGTCTGCAAGACCACCACAAAGCACCCAGCTGAGCGTGCGGACGTGATGACGTGGTGTAAGGAGTGTGACACTGGTCTCTGTAAACCTTGCTTTATGGAGTACCACTCTAAGAAAACATTCTGAAACAATGTGGCACGTGCTTATAAATGGTGTAAATAGTAGTGTAAGCGTACATGAAAAGTGCAAAGTGTCATATTTGTAAAAAAAGGCACACAGTTGTGCTCATTCACTCGTCACTGCCCACGAGCGCTGGCAGGCAGTTAGCTAGGCGTCAGGGTATCACCAACACCACCATGTATCACCACCACCTCAGCGGTCAGAGGGAAGATTCTTGGTAAGTACCTTCTTTTGTTTATTTTTTATTGTTTGTTCATTTTATCATGCAGTACAGGTATCAAAGTAGTATTACTAAAAGTAGTATAGTTATATTATAGTGTAGTATTACTAGATAATGATGCTATGATTATGTTATAAATGTATTTATTTGTGGAATTATTATTCCGATTATTATTTGTATGACATTCGTGCTCCCCCAAGCACAAAGACAGCCATACAGCCTGGCGACAGACTGCGTGTGTCGCCGAGAATTTTTTATGAAAATTATTACAAATAAAATACATTCTAAATGAATTATTTATCGGAAATAAGTATTATGATCAATAAATATATGCATTATTGGCCATCTCAGACACAAAGACAAGCGGAAAAATTACCCCTAGGTGCGTAGTGACCGCGAGCGCCAGCCGTCAAAAAAAAAAAAAAATTCCCATTATTTCCCGTCAATGAGGCTCCATGGAAGTTCTAGAGGGATAAAATATAAATTTCTTACATTTTTTATTGCTTTATCATTTATAAAGGTTAAAAAAAAAATGTTAAAGTTGATTTTTCTCGTTTTACCCCAAGTGGGGGGTATGGCCGGCGCCACCCTAACGTAAGGGTTAATGAACAATTAAATAAAAAAACCCCAATTTATGATTGGGGGACAAAATTAATTGCTTGGAATCCTCCCATGCAGGATTTCTTATAAACAAGGAAGTGATCAGGGCTAGAACATGAGTCCATATGTTTGTAGTACTGTAGACTGTATTTTAGCAAGTGTAAACTTTCCATCAGTTCAACTCTTTGACTCCACTGGTCCATAAGGCAACCACCGTACTGGTGTCACAAATATGTGTACTATATTTGGCAGAGTGGGAAGGCTTCATGCAGCATAAACATTTGTGAATATGTCCTGCTTAGAGTCACACAATTTTCTTTAATAATGGCATGCTCGTGCAGGGGGTGTGGAGTGTACCATCACTTCTCATAGGTCAGTCCTTTCACCCTTTTGGCCATAACATGGGCTTTCATTATTCACTTTTTCTTTTTTATAAGGATGATTTCTTATTTGCCATTGTTAAGGTTAACTAATTGTGGTTTATTTTTCCCTAGGACGACCAAAGAGGAAAGGTCCAGACCTTAAATTTAAGTTCACAGACAGTCAGCCACCCCAGCCTGTGTAAGTTGTGTATTTTTTCAGTATATATATATATATATATATATATATATATATATATATATATATATATATATATATATATATATATATATATATATATATATATATATATATATATATATATATATATATATATATATATATATATTCTGTTTTATGAACTATATTAAGTTTAACAATAGCAGAAATAAAATACAACTTTAAAATTCTCTCCATTACCAATAACATGAATCTTTCATGTACTTGTATACCCCTTACTTAATTTCATAAACTTTCATTTTCATCTCCCTGTGCTAGGTGGGAGGAAATGTGTCTGCAATCATGAACTGTGTCATTGAAAGCTGTAACTTTGTAATTATAAGTTTATACAATTAAACAATCCATCAATTTTCAACCAAATTTCATGAAACTTGGTACTGTACAAATAGTGTAAGTTGATTGTTCATTTACTTGTGTGAAAATGGTTTCAGTCAAACAAATGATGGCAGAGTTAATGCCCTTCATTGTCTTGAAACCCACACCTGACGATATGACATTTTGAAACATCATTTACACTCCCTATTTCTTCTCTCTTGTCCATGCCTACACCTCCTTTTTATAAACAATTGCCCATAATTAAGTTTTCCTTAACCAGCGGTAAGGTTGCTTTTTTTTTCTTTCACCATACTTTGGACAGTGTTTGAGGGTTTTTAAGCTGCAGTTTAAGTTTAAGGCTAGGAGCATACATTTTCTTTGAAGAGAAGATTTACAGGTGTCTAAAGTCACCCCAGAGGGAAGAAGAGTCAAAAGAAGGGAAAACTTTTCAAGAAAGGTTTTATGTAAAAATACCATGCTACTGTACTTGTATTTGGTTTGTAGGAGCTAATTTTTTTTAAGAACACAGTATACATTTGGAAAGACAGCAAAACAAATTTAATGGGGCACCGGTGCCCAGTATGCAACTTCTTGTTTTACCCCCTGAGCTGTAGATTACACTTTTTTATCAATATTTAATTATTAGTACCATGCATAATGCCATTACTGTACAAATTTTATATCATGCAATCTTGCAAATATGCATGAATAATATTTGGATTGTGCCTCCCAAGTCATTTTTGAGCTGTCCGAAGTCACCCCAAGTAAGACAATTTTCATATACAGTACCTCCATTTAAGTCACATTTTCAGCTATACTGTACAGTATAGGAGATATCAAGCACCCCATATTTCTAATATTTTTCACTGATTACCGTATATACTCATCTATAACCCCCCCTCGTTTATAGGTCGACCCTGATTTTTTGACCAAGAAATCGTTAATTTATGATATTCCTCGTTTATAGGTCGACCCACGTTTTTGAGGGTAATGGAACAACAAAACCTTCAGTAAAAACACTCTACGTCCTATAAACTGAGGCTCGCCGTGCTTGAAACACGAGTGCCGAAGGCAAATTGTTTACCATTTATTATTACGACACGACACTTTACACTGAAACGCGGGTAGTTTCAACAAAAATATTGTATATTTCCATTCAAGTATTTATTCAAGTCAATTAGGAGGGAATATTATTGTAATACAACAGTTTTTTTAACTAAACCATTCAAAAAGCGATTACGGTAACATCTTTTGAACGAAAGAAAGCGAAAGTCATTGTTTTCGTCACGATTTTATCCCACTTTCCACTATAATACGTATGTAATTTCAGCAAAAATATTACATTCCGTGAATGCATTATATCAAGCACAGTATGAATAGAATATCATTGTAATATAACAGAATTTTAACCGAAAACTATTAAAAAAACGAGTAACATCTCAAGAACATCGGAAGCTTAGGTAAAGTCTTTTGTTTTCGTCATGTATTTTATCGTATTTTACATTGAAATATATCACGTTTCAGCAAAACTACTATTTATTTCCGAGAATGTATTCATTCAGGCGCAGTTTAGGTAAAATATACGTATGATGTAATAGTTTTTTAACTGAAAACGATTAGAAAAACACGTAACCTCTAGCCCTGATCAAGGAGAGGACTGGGAGAAGCTGTTTGGTGCTGCAGACGATGACAAGGAAAATGATTTTGATGGATTTTAATGAAAATATTCCGAAATATGGTATCGTAGTATTTATTCAAGTCAATTAGGATAGAATATTATTGTAATACAACAGTTTTTTAACTGAAAACCATTCGAAAAACGATTACGGTAACATCTTTTGAACGAAAGAAAGCGAAAGTCATTGTTTTCGTCACTATTTTATCCCACTTTCCACTGTAATATGTACGTCATTTCATCAAAAACATTACATTTCCGCGAATACATTATATCAAGCACAGTATGAATAGAATATCATTGTAATATAACAATATTTTAACCAAAAACTATTAAAAAAACGAGTAACTTCTCTTGAACATCGGAAGGTTAGGTAAAATCTTATGTTTTCTTCATGTATTTTATCCTATTTTACATTAAAATACATCACGTTTCAGCAAAACTACTATTTATTTCCGAGAATATATTCATTCAGGCACAGTTAAGGTAAAATATACATGTGATGTAACAGTTTTTTAACTGAAAACGATTCGAAAAACACGTGTACCGTCTAGCTGATACACTCAACAGCTGGTGGTGCGTGATGCGTCATGCGTCATTGTAAACAATAGGAGGTTGAAGTAGATTACCGGGTATTATATTAAGTGTGTAATATAGGAAAGGCTTTTATTGCCGGTATTTTTTGTAGATCAATGAGAACTGTGATACCGTATATGATAAGATAAGTTAGCCTGTGCTAAGAACTTCAACATGGACTACTGAAAGCGCGTTGTAAGGTAATTTAGCCTATTGTAAGTTGGTGAGCTTCATTTGCTGAAGGAACTGCACAACTTTTCATTACTAATTGGTACATATTTTACGTTTCCATTGTTTACTGGCAGTAAATGGTAGATATTTTTCATGTCTGAAGCTAAAAGTTGCTCCTCGCCGTTCCCATCATGCACGGGTTCAACCTAACAAAACTATTACGCATGTATAGGACGACCCCCAATTTTTTGCCTAAAAATTTGGTCTTAAAAACTCGAACTATACACGAGTATATACGGTATATTATTCTATACTCCTGCTAGAGAAAGTTTTGCAAGATTTAAGATTATTTATAATTTTTACTTCTATTCTTACTAACACTTTAAACTAGCAAATGTTACTCACATATGAAAACTACATAGCTAGGGCAACATTTTAATACCAAGAAAACTTTGCTTGCTGTAAATGTCTACGAGCTATCACCTCTTCAATATTTTGTCCAAAGACACCCGTGTATGAAGTACTCTACCCCAAAGGTTGTATGGAGTTTACATCTGAAATTATGACCCATGATCAGAGTACTATTTATTTGAGTTTATTGGGGGAAATAAATTTTACCACAGGATTTGTAGATTCAAAGTTCCTCGAAATCTCATCAGCTAACTTTGCTTCAGTCGGTCAGTTGAAGGCACGCTCTGTTGCCAGCATTACTCTTTCGTCATTCAGAAAACACAGTGGATTCTAACCTAGTGTACTGCCCTTAAAATGTCTCGAAACAAACAAAAAAGTGATGACACCGAGTACAATAGTGGAAAAAGAAAATAGTAAGTAGATTGAAAGAAAAAGTGAACATTTTCCAAAGGCTTGATGCCTGGTGTAATCGCTCATAGGAGCAATTGTGGCTGTGCAGGACAATAAGACCCTCGTCGTTGGCGTGATGAGCATAATTCGGTTCAAAACCTGTTGAATACATTTCACATAACAACTGCTGGTACATCAGGACACACAGTTTGAATAATACGATCAATATACAGTACATAATTACATTTATTAAAGTTATTTAGAGTTCTCAGAGGATTCAACAGTTCACAATCACACTCATGTTTTCGGGTCTAGGGTTAGACCAACGATAACAAATATTATGTCCTGCAGGAAGATGTTGGCTCATGAGAATCAAGATGTTGCCTCTACAGTAGAAGGCGATCATCTGCCCCTCAGGCAGTCACACAGCTGCTACCAGCTCTATCTTGCTTAATAAGCTGTTCCGAGTTGTAAACAGTCTCTTCACTTAACATGTGGCCGGCACGCACAGTTGTGCATGGCGATAACACTCCCCCTGTCGGGCTTCGCTCGAAATCACTGCCTACCATTAGATTCACTCTCCGACCCCTTCCAACAGGCAGAGTCTCGTCGCTGGGCATATTAACACTGAGTCTTTTGTCTTCACTTCAACACTTCGCACCAGGCCATCTGTGCTCGGTAGTGCTTCCAGTACTCTCTCTAGCATTCATTGACTCCTGGGGAGGGGTTGTCCAGAGATGATCACGATACTGTATTCCTAGCTCGGAGATTTCGGCGAGTTATGAAGAATTTTTGTCTCTGACTTAGTCTCAGGAGATATTCCTTTACCCATCTCTTCCAAAATTGGTCCACTGTGAATTTGGCATGCTTCCATCTTCGTCAGTACGCAGTGTGTCCGGGTTCATCCGTAGTATGTGAAGCGGCGTGAATGCTTCTAGATCCTTTGGGTCGTCAGACACTGGGGTGATAGACCTTACGTTGACGATCTCTTCTACGGCGCAGAACAAAGTGTCGAGTCGTTCATCATCGTGTCTGGGTGCCCACCACTCCCTGGAGGACCTCCCACACCCCGCCCATATGAGAGGCTGTCGGGAGATTGATCTGCCATTCTATCTGTTTCTGTAGGAGGGCATTCCCAACCTTGTCACTGTTGTTCTAGCCGCTCACTGCCTCTTGTAACTCTCAGCTAGCTCCAATCATGTTGGTTCCCCTGTCAGACCTGCAGCAGGTGAATCTTGTCAGGGCGTTGACAAACAAGTTGGTGTCTAATGAGGTGAGGACTTCTAGGTGTATGGCTCTGGTGGTCAAGCAGGTGTACAAGCATCCCCATCTCGGCCTTTTTTAACCACAAAAGGGCCGAAGCAATCAATTCCAGTGTAGGTGAACGGCCAGCCTCCAGGGCGCACTCGATCTTCTGGCAGGT